GTTACCAAGCAATCCAAATTCAAAATGAGATGATTTTTAAAAAAATGCATTTATTGCCATTTCCTGCATTAACACAGGTCTCACTCTCCTGATGCCCAGCTCCACATACTGTTTTAAGAACGTTGCAGGCAAACCACAGACGTAGGGCTGCCAGGGGGCTGAATGGAGCTCTCTGTCTGAGCCCACGGCTGCTCTGTTTCTGTTTTTCTTCCTGCACTAATTAATGTGATGGATGGAGAGGGTGAGGCATAGCTTTTCTTGTGCTTTATCGTCACTCGGGGAGTGATTCAGCCTGCCCGAGAAACAAGAGGCAAAAGAAGTGGCAGGGAGGAGGAAAGTGTAAAGGAGGGATCTGTCACATTACAATGGAGAAAGTTCCCTTTGTGGCTGCTGTGCTAGGAGAAGGGTAGACAAGGAACCCACTCAAACTGCAGTTTCTAACATTTAATGAACCCCACTTCTTCACTAGTGAGAGCCTCCACCTGACACCCTTTTCTTTTTGGTATGGCAATTTTTGGTAATTGGTGTGCTGAATCCACCAATTATATTGTGATTTATTGTTTTCAATGAATTTAGGATTCCAAGGAGATGCTTTACCATATTATGTACAGTACAGTACACAGAGCAAAGAAAACAGGACAGGAAGATACCTCTCATTCAGTAATACATTGAACAGCAGACATTACTATACATATCCTCTAGCATTGCAAAACATAAAAGTACATTACCTGTCATTAGTTTCCCCAGCAATATCAACAGAAAAATTCCAAAACCTTTGAACAGTGTTGCACAGAAAACAATAAAAGATTGACTCCAACTTTGAAACCAGTCACTCTAGAATATGTAATCTTCTTTAAATACTAAAAACCTATTAAACTAGTTTCACATTCATGAAACTGTCAAAAATTGTTCTTTTTATGTTATTTAAGTTATTATGATCATGATGGTCTAAATGTACAGTCTGAGTCAGAGTAATGATTCCTGGAAATGTAATACATTTTTTCTTATACAGTAAGTGTTCTCTCTGTATACACTGACTCTTTTTCTTTTCGTTATTGATCACCCATTCTATGCAACTTATAAACACATATACTGTAGATGGACAGAAATATTTTTGTTCTTTTGTTTTCTTAATATTGACAACTCCTAGTCTTCCATAAGCATTAACTGTAGAATTGCATGAACCAACTAGGTCCTAAAGAAAACTCACTTATAGTAATGCAGCTACAGTACTAAAGGGTTAGTATAAAAGCTCTCTGGACACCTAAAGTATTTTGTACCTTATCTTATTATCCTAATGATTTGCCAGCCTGTTTGCAGATGCCTCCAACCCGTGGGAAGATGGGGGATATTCCATCAATTTTGCTGTGGTCGCAGTCTCACCATTACTCTCACAGGCACTGAATTCATCCCAGTGCACGCCAGGACTCTTAATCTGTCCTTGTGGGTAGGTAAAGGTCCTGTATCCATAACCCTCATCTCACAAGCAACGTATTCATCACCCAATTATAAAACAACAGCCCTTTATCAGCAGTTAATAGCTTCATTCTGCTATAAACCTAAGGTTAATGCAGGTCTTGCATGGAGTTTCAAGCTCAGAATGGAAAAGCAGCTTTGTCAGACAGGAGGAACATGATTTTCCATCCAAGGTCAACACGAAACTGTTTATGAGCATTGAAAGTGGTGAAGAATTCTGGGAAGAAAGAAAACCAGTGACACCTACCCACACCCCATTGCTGTCGTTACATTCCTGTGAGTTCCCATTAACACCCGCCCGCCACACCACAACTTAAAGTTTATTCACATTTTTTTATTACTCTGTTACATATAAGACAGTGAGCTCTCTAGTCTGACCATTTCCATTTGACCACAACATTAATGCTTCTTTCAATGTCTAAAATGGAAATAAGCTTACCTTCTTCTTCTGAATGGCAAAAGCATCACTATGTGGATCCTGAAACAATATAGCTGTCAGCTGAGGATTCATTTCATGCATCCATGAGTTGAAAATGATTTTTTCTTACAAAATGTCTCATATGAGCTAGTAAAATAAATTAGCTTTCGTATTTACAAATATAATTGCATATATAGTATATTAAGCTATTTCTTGAGTTTGTCTATGAAATTGTATTAAGAAACACTTCTTTTTTAAAGACAATGTCACAGATTATTTTGATAAATTCATGGTGTTAATAACATGGTTTGTATACTGTAAATGAATTGTTGTCATTTAAGTCATGGTGGTACAGTAGATACATTGTTATAATACAGGCCCATTTCATGATCAAAAAACGTGAGAACATTGAACTCATCCAGATGAGAGTTTCCTACAAGACAAAGGATGTCATCAAGGCAAGACCAGTGTGATTAAAAACGGGTTCCAACATTTAAGTTACTGTCCTCATTAATTCATGCAGGACAAATCGTGTTCTAGTTTATACTCCATATTTAGTTCAGGTTGGTCAGTTTCCGTGAAGTTCATTAAGGTATAAAGCTCATTCTTTCTCCTCTCAGAAACTTCTCACACCTTACTGTGGAGCTAGCTTCAAACTCCCACACTGAGGCTTAGTAACACCTGTGGGTAGCTTAAGGAATCTGCATGTAACATTTAATACTAATTCCTAACACTCATATGGCGCTTTTCTGGACACTCCACTCAAAATGCTTTACAGGCAGTGGGGACTCCCCACCACTACCTCCAATGTGTAGCACCCAGCTGGATGATGTGACGGCAGCCAAAGAGCACCAGAACGCTCACCACACATCAGCCATCAGTGGAGAGGAGAACGGAGTAATGAAACTTCTAAAGGAGCTTGGACAGGGATTATGAGTAGGCCAAGATTCGTAAAGGCCAGAAAAACATTTGGCCAGGACACTGGGGTTAACATCCCTGCTCTTTTCAAGAAATGCCCTAGGATTGTAAATGACCATGGAGAGTCAGGACTTTGGTTTTACATCCTATCCGAAGAAAGGAGCTTTAGTTTTCCTTTTTGTTTTAGAACAAATGCACAAGCTGTTATCCAACAATATACTGTATGCCACAGATGTATCTTTCCAAATTCTTGACAGGAACAACCTGCTTACAAGAGGCTGCCAGTACAAGCTTTGATGTACTTTGGAAGGAAAGGCTCAACCTAAGGAACTTTTTCCTAGTGCTACCTAGTGCATTGTACGGTTTTCACACAATACAAAGTATTCAACTCACAAGCTAGCGAAGAGATAGAGAATTGAGAACATAAAGAATAGAGAACATGCACTTCTCTTTATTAACTTTTTTGTAGTTGTTGAGAGGTATTGCATGTATTTATGTCATGTCATTTGCCAAACCACTTCATACCATACATGTCGAGGGAAGCCGGAACCTACCTGGCAAGGCGCAAGCCAGTCCATCGCAGGGCAAGTGCAAGCCAATCAGACAGTTCATGGGGACAATTTTGAGGCCACGGGAAAGGCCGAGGGGGGGGAATTTGGCCTGGACACCGGGATAACTCCCTACCCTTATTGAGAAATGCCTGGGGATCTTTAATGACCACTGAGAGTCAGGACCTCGGTTTAACGTCTCATCTGAAAGACGGCGCCCACTAATCCCCACCACTAATCCGGGCAATTAGGACCCACACAGACCGCAGGGTGGGATCCCCCTGCTGGTCCCACTAACACCACTTCCAGCAACAACCATAGCTTCCCAGGAGGTCTCCCATTCAGGTACTGACCAGGTTCAATGCTGCTTAGCTTCAGTGGGTAGCCAGTTGAGAGCTGCAGGGTGATATGGCTGCTGGCCTGCATGTGCTATATTTATTGATGTGAATATTTACTTGATGCACACATCTGTGTCTAAAGCCATTCAAAGAGCAAAATCTCCTTCCATATCACTGCTCCTAAACAATATCACCCAGAACTTCATATTTTACAATAATTGGAGGTAGAAGTGCTCTTTAATGGTATATGTGAAACAGATACCAGGAAGCATCCTGTCCACACAAAACAGTAGTGAATACCCCTAAAAGACGGTTGGTCTAACTCCAGGGTAAATTACAGGTTCAACATTCTGGAGCATTAGTTAGATTAGATATTTGCAAATGGAAATATGGAACCAGTAGTTCAGTAAGCTTCTTGTCTCCTGAATTGCACATTTTCTCTGTGTTTTTTTATCCAGCAACCACTGCCTAAAAAACTCTTGAAGTGACAAACTAGCAAGGTCTGTGGCTGTCTTTAGCAATAGACTAGAGGCAGGTGCACCTGTAATTATGTTTTGTAATGAGGCCACAAACATCAACCTTATAATCTACAATAAAGCAGAATTGTAAGCACACTGTAAAGGTGCTGCTACTTTACAGTACTCAAGAATTGTAGGACATTGGGTATGTCTCACTGCTTTGGAAAGAATGAGACACTCCTATAGAGCTTTAGGTTATCTAATATTTTGGTAGAGCACTGTCTAACCTTATGTCAATATGTGGATTTTAATTTAAACGTCCTGCAAAGGTTGGTCATATTTTATTTTTGATTTTATTATCCATGTTTAAACTAAATATTTAATAGTACACCTCACTGTAACAGTGAAAAAACTATTGACAGCTTATAAGTGTCCTCTCCAGCCCTTAACGTTTTAAGCTGTTAACATGCAGAGCTAGGATGATGATGATAATTATAGTATTTATCCGAAACAACAAATCAATAATATGGAATTCAGATTTTTTTTTACATTAAACGACTCTGTTAGGCATTTAAAGAAAAGGCAAACTTGCACATTTATGGCTTTACTAACAGATTTCAGGTGTCGTGTTCAATAAACTCCACATCCTATCGCCTCTTCCGTTATAATAAGAATACGAGTCAATATTATTAGACATTATTTTAGGTGTTTAGAAGACACCTAACTCTTTTACCATAGGCACCCACCTCTTTTACCATTGGCAGGAGGAGTCTTCGTCGTTTAAAAAAAAAAAACTCCCCTCTCTTTTTCTTCCTTGCCCCCCTCTTCCTAATCTTTGACAGCGAGCTAAACGCGTTCCCTTTTTGAAAAAAGATTCTTTCTGCTCTTAACACACACGCGCGGAGCAACTCTCTCCACCGGGGCCCGTGAGCTGTCAGGGCAGACAAGGATCTTTAACAGCGGGGAAATTATACAGCAGCCAATATTCAGCCAGTGATATGTTATAAACGCATAAGTAAAGTTTCCGAGAAGAAAATAAGGCAGAAGAAAGAGCCGACTAAAAAAATCGAAGATATTTCGTTTTATTCGTTTTTTTTCCCCACGAAGACCAAAAATCACCGTACAATTTTTACTTTTTTTGCCAGGTGTATGGAACTTAAGATTGCTGGGATTCTCCACTGAATAGCTGAAGGTAAATGTATTCTTTCACAACAGAGAGAACTTCACCTGTTTATTTCAGAGCAAGTAGTGGAGTAATGCATACTGGTAACTTTGATGGACCAGAGAGGGAGAAAACGGTACTTCTTATTCTGACTGATAAAGCTTTTGCTATAGGCTATTTTAACGCATGCGAAAAATAGAGGCACTGTAGATCGTTTTTCACCTTTTCTCGTCCATCGCAAAGCAGAAAAAGGTAGATTATGCAGGAATATAGTCTAACGCGTGGTAGAATGGAAATCTGACTGATATTAATATTAATGAACCCAGCTAAACAGGTAACAGGTGTTTCTGTAAGAGCCTATATGGGCGATTGTTGGTGTTGTATACACCAAAAGGACATTTCATGCTTAATTCCTGAGGTTTGTGTTAGTTACGATTCAAAGTGATGCTCTTGTGGTTTCAAAAGGTACCTTCCCTGTTTTGTCTGAAGTCGCTGGACAGATATTGTGTTGTGTTTTATTGTACTAAAACCCATCATACAGAATTTGTGCTAATTCTAATACTTCATTAAATTTTTAACACAATCAGCATCTTGGATGTCTTCATGGCATCATTCTATACAAAGTCCCGAAAGGAGCAAAAGCCCACTTTTGGCCCATAATAAGTACAGTATTTTAAAACGCCTTAACAAAATAAAGACACAAACTAATAAATCCACTATAAATGTAGTGCAGGCTCAGTCATAAAATATGCTGTGCTGAACTATCAATACAATTTTATTTTTTCGGTTATTATTAAAATTGCATTTACCCCTGAGCCAATCAGATGTTAGCAGTGTGTATATCCTGGTTTTCTTAGCACTCAGTCTTTTGACTGTAGTTAATCAGTTTTGTGTTACACTACAATCAAGCACATCATTGCCTGATTATTAATAGTATATTATATTAATAGTATGATCACACTTTTGGCGATTGGTTGATTTTTAATACTTTTCTTAATTTTCAGATTTTTTTTAATATTAAGCTCTCATTTTGTTTCATGTTAAAAACCAAATATCAAGTGCCAAAAGTATAAAGACATGCCTAAATAATATGCAATTTATCATGCCTGAATACCGTACTCCATCACTATAAGGTTGACTATATTTATTTAAACAATTTATTGCATTGTATAATAGATCCTAATTTTAGTCTAGTACCCATCAAGTACACTTGGTGTCTTTATCCTGTTGAGATCCTACACAAAATAACTATGGATAGTGTCATAGACATAACATTTTTAATATCCTGGTTAGTTGTTGAGTCATAGATGTCTGTATACAGTATCTATACAGTATGTACATCTATGAATGTACATAGATTGAATGTATAGTGCTTAGATAACGTGTGCACAAGTCTGTATTTGTACTGTATATTATGTACTGCATGTGTCTGGTATATTTAGATATGTATTTCTAAGAAACTTACAATAAGACTTGCATGTGCCTTTTGATTACTGACGTGGATTCAGGATTTTAAAGGGTGACATTGTTTGGCCATTAAAATGCTTGGCTTATACTGTTGATTCTTAAGCATGCTGCCAGACGTGGACCAATTTCAATGTTTTTCTTTGGCACCAATTTCTCTCCACAGAACAGCAAGGCAGTATTGTTATTTCCCACAAAAAAATGAATGGACATACTCCAGTACCTGGACAGGCTTATAAAGGCATTCAGTCTTGCAATACTGGCTTAAATACGTTCTTATAGATTAAAATAACACAATTTTGTCACAACTAAAGCAAACATACTGTAATACCGTATTATGTTCCATCTTGCTGGTGCACGTGTTCTACCACAATTAAAGACATTGGATTTAGAAGATTAATGGGTAGCAGCAAACCTAACACTTTGCTTAGTATTGATTGAAGTGACAAGCAGTGATCTTAAGGAGGTTTGAAATAATACTAGGTTGCCATTACAGAATTATTACTTTAACAGTTTTTGGTAATCTGGCTACAGAACACCCAGTGTCAAACTGGAAGCCACAAGTCACCTGTGCTCTCCATCCTATTCTTCTTATTTGGTTTTAAAACTGGTTTTGATCTCTGTCTGTTAAAAAGAACTCCCTTTCCTTAGTTTTACCTTAATCTTTGTATTCTCAGACTGTAGAAGAATATAATTGTGTTTTATTGTAATAGCATTGAAAACTGTGTCTTCTGCCAATGTGTACAAGTGTTTGCTGATTAATAATGTATACGCGATTAAGACCGGTCACTACAAAATTAATTCAATGGACCCTCTTCAAAATCACCAGTAAAACGTAAACCAGAGGGCATAAAAAGACACTTAAGGGAGGCATATTTAAAACTTAGAATGGAAGACAGTTCTTTGCACAACATTGTGGGAGTATACTGTTGAACAAGCTAGCCAACCTCGTTGTTGAAGCCAAGACCCTGACTTCTTTCAAGAAATGGCAGGAAGAGATCTTTGGAATTTTTACACCACTAAACACCAAAGAAGCTAGATGGCGACTGGCCTTCTCTCATTTCTAACTTTTCTTATCCCTTTTTCAATTAAATGTTTTGTCTGCATGTGCAATTACTGTATGTTCACGTGAGTTGCATCGTGTATTCTTAGCAAAGGGTTACTGCTCATGAGGAGTACATCAGGAAATATAGCACTCATACCACAGTGGTTAATAATCTTGAAAACTCCTCTGCAGTGCAACTGGGGATCTTATTATGTACAGTACATACAGTATTTGAGGAGAGGTGGCTAAATTGTGCCTTGCATTGATTGCTCATGCTGTGAACATTCTTCTTTGGCACTTGCTTTCTATAATGACTACATTTGTAAAAATGTATGAAGTGTGTGTTTTGTGTTTACTAGACATGAATGTAACATTTAAATGATGCATCCTAATTATTTATCCTAGTGATGGCATTAATTGTGTCTATGTTTCTCACCCAAGTTTCAGTGCGCAGTATTATTGTGATATATATTTTTTGGGGGGCAGTAATATGGATATATACATACAGTATAGAATGTTCAAATGGTATAACCCTGAAGGCAGAGAGAGCATTCTGTTGGCACAGACATCAATTAGAATAGACTGTTACAGTATATAGGCAAGAACCCAATTACTGTACATACAGTGTTTTCTGCTGGCTTCTACCTGAATGTGGATAGTGTTCTTATGGAATCAGCCTTCAGTTGAATGGCATGGGCCTCATCTGGGTTAGAGTGTTTTATTTACATTGGCCTTAATGCAGTTAGAGGGTTTTATAATACTGACTTCAGTGGGAACAGAGTTTTTCTTATTGGCTTGGACCTCAAGTGGAATAGAACTTGCAGCTGGTGCTGAATGGGAACACTGTAGAGCACTCCTGCAAGACAACCCTACAATAATGGAATACCCGATGAACTAGTTTAAAGAAAAATGGTAGTTTTAAACACTCCATAATAAAAGTGGTTGTCTTCACACAATTTGCTATTGCCATTTTACATAAATAGAAGTTGCTATTCAAGGTAAAAAGACAAATTGTATTGGGTATAATTTCATTGTAAAAAGCTGCATTTTCTGGTTTTCTATTTTTCTCTGGTGTCCCTATAGAGTGCCTCCATGCACAAATTTTACATTCACATGGCAATTGGAGGCACTGCAAATAACCTCTATGAGAGATGTCCTTACTGATGCTGTATAGCAATGTATAAATTCTTAAACTAATTCCTTGAATAATACATTAGTGCCCACAACACCCTGGCAAAGTTGCACCTCTGACTGATTAAAATCATCACATGACTGTGTACTGTATGTGTATACAGTATACAGTGTGTATATTATGACTCATATACTGGTGAATCACTGTAAACTGTTAACTATCATCAATGCCAAGCGTACTAGAATTCTATCCCGAGCTGCCATTTTCAGCTCCTGCCACAAAATTACATTCAGACAGTGTCTACGCACTATTTTATTTTTTTATTTAACATTTAAATAAGCAATAATTTATCTTAAAATATATATATATATAAAATCTAAAAATCAAACTAATTTAAACTAATCTATTTTAGATGTGGTTTTAATCAACAGCCCACAGTATAGGATTCACACCTGTTTGGTTTCTTTTGCCTTTTGAATTAAATGGTGTTTGTATTCCTCTGTGATGCCCACCTTTCTTGACACTTGGTAAATATTGGAAGAGTTTTTTTTCATGATCATTATAATTTAAGAGTCTTTTACATAATTCATGGTGTAAAGTATCTGAAAACCATGTCATGTAACCACAGGCTTGACAGGGGTATTTGAGTATCTGGGCGCTTTCATAATACATTTTGATTATACGTGGTCTCTCAATATGTACTGTAGCAGTATGATGCACCGTCACCCACATCTGCTGCTTTCTGCAGCTGCTCAGAACACACTGCAGAAAGCATCTCTTTTATGAGGATCACTATATTTCACTGTTTATTTTTTACTTAGAGTTGTCATGAAAAAGGTCTGTTTGGGACACATAACCATCAATTTCCACACAGAGATAATAATCTTCTTGAGAATCTCATAATTATTTAAGTTGATAGTTGACAAAGTCTGAAATGATAAACAGAATCCTCCTGACTCAAAATATGCTGTATTAATTAGTGTTGCCTTGTATTGGTTTTGATACTGTTTGGAGTTTGCATGTTCTCCTTATGTTTATTTGAGTTGCCACTGGGTGCTCTTTCTGAAGAGATGCTAGTAAGGCATGAATTTCTGGGATCTTTGACCCTTGTAGGACTTAATGACTTTCTGATTATGGATAAGTGTAGTTTATTTTCCAAAATTACAAAAAGCACACTCCAGGTTTTGGTTTTTCAAAGAAAAAAGGTAAATAGCATAAGTTTCTATATTTAGAAAAATGTATTAACAAGCAATCTAGATTGTCAAATTAGAAACTTTTATTTTGCATGCCAGCTAGAACTTCTTAGTGCCTGGTTTTGAAATCGCTCTTTGTATTAAGTGTATGGTTCCAGTTTTAAATGATATGTCCTTTCTTATAAATTAATGTCAA